AAGATCCTTCACCTACTTGATGGCTCTTTCATACCGTAGCTGAACCTCGGAGCCAACTAGACCACGGGTAAGTGCGGAAAGGATGAGTGCCGATAGGTAGAGTTTTTTTTTTTTTTTTTGGGGGGGGGGACAGGATAATCCACTTTCGATGATGAAAAACATGGACTTTCCGCCCTTCGTCACATCCCCCTTCCCCTCCCGGCAACGCACTCAGTTCCCTCGGTTATAAATTGTCTGTGGGTGTTGAATGCTGCTCGCGTTTACCGCCTAGCTTGTTGAGTGAGGGTTTAAAATGTGAGGGAATGGTGATTTTTTCTCGGTATGCATTTGTCTTGGGATATATGATAGGCTTGAATTTGCTGTAGAGATGAGCGAATAAGAGAAGGGGGGAAACTCGAGGGCTCTATACGAGCACTGAACGAGTGAGTGCAGTAAGGTATGATGAGAGAGGAGAGGCGGCCCAGGAACTGGATCTAGCTCTGCTCTATGATAATAGGAGAACGGTTGTTTGTTAAGGAAAATACGTACAGTACTCACACAGGCTTGGTGCCCCTTCTCGTGCCGCATCGAACCGGAGGTCGCTCGATCCGGAAGAGAGAGACATCGTGGAAATTTTTAACTGGAGACAGGGCTGCATGTTAGTTCATCCCTCATACCTCACACAATTCCCCTTGGAGTCAAACGGCGGAACAAATAGAGGAATATGCGAACCAAGGGTCCAATGCTGGTATGATACTGATGTGATTTTGCGGTACGACAACTCCCAAGGAGCATAGCGTGATGATTTACCCTGATTTGTGTGCGATAGACCTTAATAATTGCTGCGCTCTTGTCAATCCTTGAGACTGCTTCATTCTTTAGCCACTGTTCAAGTTCGCTGCCTGTATATGCGGTACTCTGCCCCCGTTGTGCTGTGCTGGATGGTAGGCGCCGTAACCGGCTTCCCTCTGCGTTTCTGTCTATCAGTAGACTATTGTATCTCCTCTTTCTCTCTGACGCTGCAGGTTTCTCGTATTTACCGTCCGGCTCCCATCCGCCCAGCCTTGTTTACATGTCACTACCATTGTTGCCTCAATAATATAGTGATAATATCATATCTGGGCAGGGTGAAGCGGTGCCGATACTGGAGTGAAGTAAGGCTGTCAAGCAAGCAACTGCAAGTGGGAGAAAAGGCAATGCTCATCCAGGATTCGCGGAAAAGCAGAATCGACGAACCTGGTCAGACGGCCGGATGCGCATCAGGATTGGGCTGATTCGGGAAAACTCTCCGTAAGACAAAATGGGAGGAGTCCTAGGAAAACGATAGACCAATGGACGGAAGTAGAATTCAAGCATTGAAAGACGCTCTGTCCTTCTGTTTCTGATTGTCTCTGTCGTCCTGATTTTGACAGGTCGATATTGTTGGGTTAATTATGTTTTGTTTTTTCGTCCCTTTGTTTTTTTCTTTTGAAGTTTTCCCTGGTCAAAGATGTGGTAATTTTCCTCCCCGATTCTTGTTCAAGCCATTTCAGGGATCATTGGATCAACCCTTGCCAATAACCATCGTTCCGGGTCATATTATGATCACCTCTCTCCCATTCCTTAGATCCTACTGTACGTATCTCCTCTTTCCCACCTCTTTCCCACCCACCTTTACAGGCAACGTAGCGAGCAGGACCTTTACGTGCCACTTTTGAAAGGATGAAACAGCCCGCCTACTAAACGGGGCAGTCGGTTCCGAGTTCTCACGACTGATGATCCAGGACGAGCTCTGGGATTCCAAGCTGAACTGAGCGCCCCCTAGGTGTTCCTAACCAAGTACTGTACCTTATATCCTCGGCCCCTGGACCCAGTTCTACTGCGAGGTGGTCCCAAAAAGGTAATTTCATTGGCATTTGCTTCAGGGCTCCTGCACTCTCTCAAACGGCCAAAGCTCGCCCATTGTTTAGTCGGAGTCATTTGTAAGGAAGCAGCATCGTTGGAGAGAACTGTATGAGAGCACTGTTTGTATGTGCGATGTTCCTTGTCATGCATTGATATGCACCTGCTTACCTCCTCACTAATACAGAGTGTACTGTAGAAGCACGCTTTTGTGCGTAGTAACATTCACTTTCTTTCCCACTGCAGATGGGGTGCTACAAGTAAAAAAAAAACCAGATATTCCCGCTTTGTTTGTTTGTATACCAGTCCCTTTTTTTTCCTTTTTTTTCTTTTTCCCTTTTCCCCCGCACCTCTCTCTCTCTTTTTCCCGACTGCCGTAGCAGACCTGGTACCCGAGGGCCCGCGGGAGACTCAATCGAGTAAGATTTCAAGTATTGTGGGTATTATTTTACAGTATCGTCATGATCGCTAGGGAGCCATATGTGGATGCGGAGTAACATAGTCTATGGAACGTGATCAATTATTTACTCGAGTATTTACTTGTGTCAGGTTAATTATTACTATTTTCTTTTGCTCTCGCTTGGCTGCCCTTCTCTAAAAAGTCCGGACAATCAGCCCGCTATCCAGGTTCCAGAGTTTTTCTCTAACTTGCAGGTAACCCTCAGAGTTACAGTACCTCTTCCCTCCCTACATGTCGTCCTTTCCCCTTTCCGCGCGGAGTCCCCGAGACCGCTGACACGGCATCAAACCTCCCGACCCTCATAAGAATCAACTTTCTCGTCCGAATCTCCCTATCAACAGCCGTGTTCTTGTTCAGCCTGCCTACCGTACGGTATCTGTCCTCATTCCACTTCGCTTCGTGCCGAGAGTCAACAGCTCCATCAGCCATCGTTCGTGGCGCGATCCTGTACCGAGATTAACAGTTCCCCACGGTTTCAAGTTAGATCATCTCATTATATACCGGCACGAGGTCACAGTGCTAGCACTCGTACATGAACTTTGGGTTCTACAGGGCGTACCGTGTACGGTAATCTACGATTATCCTGGCATACTGTAACAACCGATCACGGGAGGAACCAGATCCTATTAGCGGCGAAAGCCTGGGAATATCGGGGCCATTTTCATTCGACCAAAATCTCGAGGAGCCCTTTCAATTGCTTTCTCTTCTTTTTTCTTTTTTTCTTTTTTTCTTTTTTTTCCCTCTCTCTTTTCTTTTTCCTTTCCCTTCGGGAGGAGGGTGGTGGATTGAAGGTACTCGAGTAGTACCGGTACCACCACCACTACCGTACTGCTATCGGTACTGGATTGTCTTAAGTTAATACTTGTACGAGTACTTGGTACATAGGGTACAGTGAGGCATGCGCTATCGTTGATTTGAGCCAATTCTGGTAAGGATAATCTTTGTCTCTTTCGTCAACCCCTGTCAGGCCAAAGCAAGCCTAGCGCGTTATCGCTAGTGCCGAGTACGTGCGAACAAAGGCGCATCCGTGCAACACCAACCACCCGCGGGGCCCAACAACCGCCAACCGTTGACTTATTCCTCTCGCAGCAGCGACGACAAAGTCACGGACCACGCTTTATCCACGCGCACACCACGCTTTCCTTTACTGCTGCTCTTTTTCCTCTTTCTTCTTCTCCATTTTTACTTTACTCTATTTTATTTTATATTTTTTATATTTTATATATATACATATATTTTCTCTTCAACTTCTGCCCATCTCCATTAAAAAATCATTCCGCATTTATTTATATATTTTTTAGACCGTTTTTTAACTGCTTTCGTCCTGTTAAAAAAAAATTTCTTCCTTTTTTAATTTTTTGCTCTCTTCTTTTTTTCTTTTCTTTTTTCCTTTTCCCTCCTGTTGGCACTTTTTGGCTCCTCAACCTCTCCAACTTGCCTCTCTCGTCGGGGAAAGGGTCCTCCTTGCCATTTTTTTCTTTCCCTTTTCACTCCCGTTGTATCCCTTCTCTCCGGTGCAGTTGAAATTTCGTCTCTTCACCCCCGGGCACTGCTTTTTGGGATCTGGAAGAGAGCTGCTCCGGGACTTTGGTGTTCGTTCCTTCTGCACCCTTACCCCCCCCTCTCTTCTCTTCTTGTTTATCTTCCTTTTCTCTCCAGTCGCTCCTTGGTTGTGTGTCCCTGGCTATCTTCAATTCTCGAAACCTTACATTTTTTGTTTTCATTATTCTTCTGTTCGATAGCTTTTTATTTTTATTTTTATTTTTATTTTTTCCCTTATTTCCTAGCCTGTGGTTTTCTTCCCTTTCTGTTCGATTATTACTTTTTCGACATTCCCCCCCTCCACCATCCCCCCACTTTCGCTCCATCGAGTCCACTGCTTTTGGTATAAGCTGGGTGGTGTTGCAGTGAATCTTATTTTTCTCATCCGGAGTTGCTACGCAAGTTGGTCAATTCCACTGGGAAAGTGAGAGAGTGTGTGTGCGAGAGAGGAAAGGGACGACTGGAAAGGGAACGATTGCTCACAGGCCAAACTGAGCTCTGCTGGCATTGCTACACGGTGCGTGTTCATTCACCATCGTGCTTCCACCTGTCCCGTTTGCAGGTTTGCAGCCGGCAGGTCGTCCGTATTTCTCTATTTTTTTGGACTCTTTTGGTTGGCCTTTGTAGCGGGGGAGAGAGGTGGACTCTTGTTTTGGTCCAAGGATAGACCCTCCTCTGCTGCGTACATACATACCCAGCTGGGTAGGGCGTCCACATCGAACGAACGAACCTTTTTTTTTTTTGCGGCTGGGATTTGTTTCGCTTCAAGCCCCCTCTCATCCGCCACAAATTAGTTTTGCTGCTTGCTTGCTGCTGCCTCTACTTTTGATTCTGGAGCCGCTAGCTGCTATTACTACTAGCTGCGCTTCTGCCACTTATTTCTTTCATTTCTGCCACTGTTGCACCCGCTCTGTTACTACTGCCGCTACCACTGCTATATTCAATCACCGCTGGTTGTGCTGCTGCTGTTACCGGCTATTACACCTGTGTGGTGCAATAGAACACAACTTGTGTTGCGTGCGGGTGTGTCTGTTCTGCGTTGTGTGTGTGCTTGTGTGTGTGTGTTTTCTTGCGTGTTTCATTATAAGGTTCAGCTTCTCCGAGTTTCCTGAGCGGGTAACTACCACCCACCCCTCCAGGCACCAAACGAATGTTTGTGACGCTAACCCTATCTTTTCTATGTAATGTCTAGGTAACCGACTGTCGATGCTTCGGACTTCCAGTAGCTGTTTCCGAATCCTTTTCTCCTCTAAAGAAATTCTCTCGTAGTGGTCATTCTTGCTGCCGTCTGGCGCAGCGCTCCGTACCGTCTTTATGACTACTCCTCACAGGGGGCTGCCACCTCCGCAGGCCATGGCTCTGCCATCGCCTACGCAAGCTTCGAGCGGCGTAGGTCAACTTCCTCACCAATGGCATGGCTCCGAGGATATGTACAAAACTTGGCTACTGGCAAAGTTGGAGGAGGAACGGCGAAAGGCCGAGGAGGAGAAGACGAAGCAGGAGAAGATCCGAGAAGAGACCAGGAAAATAGATCTCGAGATGCTGCGGGAGTCTTCTAGGTTTTTGATACCGCCGCCGTTAATACCAATCGTGCTGGCTGGGGGGGGGACTCTCAAAGGTGCTGGTGGGGAATGGTTGAACGACTATGTTTCGCAGTACATGGGACATCTTATACAACAACAGCAGCAGATGGTACAACAGCAACCTCAGCATCACCAACAGCAGGTCCACCAGATGTCGTCTGCGCAACAGTGCACGCAGGCCCCTGTGCTGCGAAGGGAGGCTCGTTCAATAGGTCAGCAGGGTGGCGGGCAAGCTCCTCATCCTCAACAGATGGGGCCGCCGCCGCAAGCGGGCATAGTGCCTCCGCAGGCGGCCCAAGCTCATCCCCCTCCTCCGCTATCACAGGGCTATAATAACCCGGCATACCCACCACCGCCTGGTGGTCAAAGGAGTGGACCACCACAGCCTCCCCCTCACCCGCCGCCGCCGCCGCCTATGCAGCAACCCGGGCCTCTCTCTCGTCTGCCAAAACTAGATACAAATGATCAAAGGCAGGCCCCGCACCAGCCGCCGATGCATACCGGAATTCCACCGACCCAAATGGGTGGACATCCTGGCCCTCCCATACAGCATACCCCACAGTCATCTCAGCAACCCCCGACTCAACCGGAGACCTCAGTGTCCCAATCCCCGTCAATATTCTTCCATCATTGGCAGCCCCCGCCTAGTACTAGCGTCGGAACCTCTACCCCGGTCCAGGCCACAGCCTCACCGCAAGGGCAACTGGGGTCCCCGTTTAATCGCCAGCCACAGCCCAACCAGATCACGGGTCCCGAATACACGAGCTCACCCAAGAAACGAAAGACTTCGACTCAACAAGGCCCTTCCGCTGCTGCTCCCCAGCCATTCTCACCCAGTTTTCCTGTCACACCATTACCCACCAGCACACGAACGCGAAGAGGTCACTCAAGGCATCGCAGTGATACAGCGGGTTCAGGAACTCGAGGGTATGAACCCTACCCAAAAACAACACCCCGAGGGCACAGAGGGTCGATTGGCGAGGGGTCAGCTCATGGAGGTGGGCCGCCGTCGGGTGGCAATGGTGGTGGATCTCATTACCCACATGATCAACACCAACATGAGCAGCATCAACAGCATCAGCACCAGCATCAGCATCAGCAGCATCAGCACCAGCAGCACCAGCAGCACCAGCACCAGCACCATCAACAGCACCAGCGTCCGCCTTCTGTCCCCCCCCATCCCCTTCCACAGCATAGACCATTTTCGCCCAAGTCGGAAGGCAGGAGAGAGACCTACCAACCTCCTGCTACTTCACAACCACCACCATCTGAGGGAGGGGAAGGGGATAATCGGAGCAAAAGTAGAAATAGCAATGGGCGAGATTGATACGGCACTCGCCCTAACGTTTTTCTACCCTGACCTGGCCACTACCTAACGACACTGATGAATCCCATTCGCAAAAATCTCGTCAAAATTGGGTTGTACCACTACAAAAGAAACATTCTGTATTTGATTTGGCTTACTAGCACTAGGAGTTTGCTACCCTGTATTACTATCACCTTTTTTTTCTTTTCTTTTTTCGTTTAAAAACCTTTCCCAACCTTCGTTTCTACTGTCTAAATACCTAGGGTTTTTCTTTTCGCTTTGCTTTCGACAGGGCCGTGCACACTTGTCCGAGGGGCCCCTATGTTTGCCTTGCTCACAATCACGGGAAAACGTTGTATTCATTTCAAGTAGTTCTAGTATCTTTTTTTTTTTCCGGCCCCATTTTGTTTTATTTTGTCAAATAGCGTATTGTGGGAGAGGCGCACCTCGGTTCTTTTTTCATTTTCTTTCTCTTCCCAAGTTGCATATTCTTCTGACTCCGGGCTTCAAGTCGCTTCCATAAAATTACTGGCTCCCACTAATCTACCGAAGGAAGGGTTCGATATCGGGATTGTAGGGGGACATTTCAAATCTCTTTTTTCTCATTGCCGGTGTTTTGGGTTGGGTTGGACTGGGAAGTATGGAAGGCGGTTAAAAAAAAAAAGCCGTCAGTGACCTGCCTGTACTGTACAAAGCATCATATATGCACATGTACCGGGTGTCTCTAGCCTTTTTAGCTAGGAGAAAAGTTAGTTTTTTTTGCTTTTTGCCTTTTCCTTCTTTCATGTCTGTGGAGAGAGGGGGTCATGTATTAGTATCATTTATCATGGTATATCAGGATATCGATATACCGTTGAAGAAGAAAATATTCAAGAACACATTATCATCAATTCCCTTTCTTTCTTTCTTTCTTTCTTGTATTTTTTTTTAGAAAAAAAAAAAACCCCCGTCAATCTCAGTCGATATTATGCTATCTGGGCTATCATATTTCATATTTCACATGTAGCTCTCTATAATACTCGTACCCGGTAAAGAAGTTCCCTTCTGTTGATCTTTCGCGCTCTCACGTGCTGCGCGTTTTCCAAGTATTGTATTACCGATATTTACGAGTACGGTAACTTAGCATCCACAAACCTGGGCAAGTCCACTTCAGCAGGTTGGTAACTTATCATAATATGTAGGGAAGAGAGAAAAAAAAAGTAAAGAATGAAAGCCAGAACAGATCTTCAAGTTGTCTGTCACCTTGTCTCCTCCGAGAACCAAGAAACCCCCCCCCCCCTTCGAAATATTGCTTTTTCCAACCAACCAAACCAAACCAAACCAAACCAACCCGCGGTATGAGGGAGAAAAAGGAAAAATAGAGAAGGGAGGTCAGATCTGTCCGTACGAATTACAGTCTTCACCATACCCACGACGAAACTGGGGCGGGTGACGAACAAACAGGGGTATTTGGTTAGCAAAGTAGGGTAACAAAAAATTAATTGTTATGATATAATACTGATCCCTGTTTCGTCTAGTTTCGTCGTGGTGACCTTCCTTCCTTCTTCCCTCCATTCCTTCCTTTCCTTCTGTGCAAATCACACGGTACATTACCTCCAACACCAGTGGGGTGCGAATGGGACACCATCCATCCCGGTGAAGCCAGCCAGCCAGCCAGCCAACCAGCCAGTTTATTACTGCGATATACAAGCACAGTACGACAACAGCGTAATATAATCTTCCCGCCATTTTTTTTCCCCCTTCACCTTGCGTGCATTGAGTTTGCTGTACTCGCAAGGAATCTCGTTAATTAAGATTGAAGGGGGTGTCTTGGCGGTGGGTAATATTTGCTTCTTTTTTAACTTTTTTGTTTTTTTCCCGTCGCCTTGTGTGATCCCTGCGGGGGATCATTTTTGGCGTTTTCTTTTTCTTTCTTTTTCTTTTTCTCTTTCTCTTTCTCCGGTTATGCATCGGTTTCTCAGAGGAGGGGAGAGTACCGCTAGTAGGATGAATAGGAGGAATTGGTTGGCGGAACTTCCGCCCGTGAGTGATTCTAGTGCGGGTGCCACCGACAGCGGAAGCTCCGAGATTGTGAGATTCTACACCGACAAATCTACCGACCACCGAAACCGTACTCTATCCGAGATCCTCTCGTCCACAAACTCGGAGCTCGAGCGTTCCCACGATTACATACAGACGCTCTTCCCGTTGCCCGAGCCCTCGCCGTATAATCCCCTGGCGCCGACGATCGATTCGACCGCCGCAGCCGCATTCCGCTCCTCCTTGGCTCTCCGCCTTGCCCTGCGTTCCAGCTTGCGCCGCATGCTGTCGTTCTATGGCTTCGATACGGCTGTGAACGCTGGTGGGGAGTTGGTCATTAGTAGGGGAGATGGGTGGGGTTCCAGGAGCGCTTTTTGGAGGAAGAGGTTCAATCATAATCATCTTAGGATCACGAGGATTATTAGGTGTCTGCGAGTGCTCGGGTGCGAGGGGGATGCTAGGC